ATGAACTATAAATGAACAATTGGGAAAAACATTCTAGTTTGATCTTTCTGCCTAACCATGCCTACCCTTGTTTGTCAAATGTGATCTGCTTTTCAGGCCATTCCTTTCATTTAAGGGCCCAATCAATTTTTACTTTTTGGTTTATGGGCCCGGTGCACAAAGTATACCCCCTCAACGGTAAGGGAGAGTTGGGGGAAACCACTTGGAGCGGCATTGCCCGAAGGACGCCCGACGCTCTCGTGAAGACTCTATGGCTTTGTGTACTATCAGAATAATGTAGAAGTGCGCACTTCGCGCCATACGCGCACGAACCAGTACGCCATGCGCGGCAGTGTCCCGCACAAGGGGCTCTCAAAATGGTTAAGCAGCACCTGTTCTTGTTCAGGCACGGAGCACGTAAATCAATTTGACAACCCAATGAAAATGAAACGCTGGTGATATGTTAAAAGTCCTAGTTGATTCCCAGTATGATAGATTATTCAGAGCATTTTTCTCATTGGTTTTGTTTGAGACAAAATCAAATTCTCTGTCACGTGTAGTAGTATGTTATCTAATTTATAATGCAAGCCAAAAAACCAACTTGAGCAAAAAAAATCAACTAATTGCAGATCAAAATAATTTCAAATGATGCCACTGTAGTAGAGCATACAAGTTAATACTTCAAAAATCTGCGAGACTTTACGGGAAAATACAGTACATCACGGGCACCATGCATAGGAGCTATAACATGTAATACGTCCTATTTTTTGGTATTTATTTTGTGTCCTGGCAAGGTTTATCCTGTCAAGGGTTCTGCGCAAGAAAAGAAAGCATTACAATTTACAACATATTGAACATATTGCGAATTGATGACTAAAAAAAAAAGAAAAACATTTGACCTCAACTTCGCAGATAATTGGATTAATTCTACACGGGAGTCTGTGACTAGATTAGTCAGTGTTTGACGTTCAAATGAAAAGTGCACGTGAACTGGCGGGACTTGCATGCTCTATATAACCATGAAACCCCAATAAAAACTGTATACATTTATAACCCTGCACAAACATCTCAATGCAAGAAGCACCTGTAGTTTCTAGGTTGGCCAATCAGCACTCAGCATATGTACTCAGCTCACTGAGTACACCTGTTGTTATTTCATGAACAGACGGCCAATCAGCTCAGAGCGTGTACTGGAAGTCCAGCCCTGTGCTAGCAGGTAGTCTATCTGGTAGTAACTTGTCAAACTTCTCGTTCATGTGGACGGTGAAGTAATACTTCCAATACCCAACACGATCCTCTGCAAGTAAAACAATGACACCAAAAAACCTGACTTCACTTTGGCTGCGCATTCTCATATAAAGTAGTATTCAATTATGCTAACTTGGACTTGATCAAATATTCAATTTTCTAATTTGGACTTGATTTAATATTCAAATATTCAACATGCGCTGATTATTTAAGTTTTACATGCGTCAGCCTGAAATGGCCGCTGATCGGGGTTTTGTGCCCCTGCACTTGTCCAGAAAGTCCAAACTCATTTGAGGGATCATAAATTTTGAAGAGCTATGGGGAATTTTGTTAGCCACATTTTGATACCCCGCTATTAACTGTAAATTGTCCAAGATTAACAATGGTCTATGAAAAATGATGCATTTTGAAAAGTTGCAAATTTAAAGATTGCGCGAGGAGAAATTGCTATAAAGCATAAACACACCTGCCGGTAATTGGCCCTTATCGATTGCACAGTGCCCGAAAAAAGCGCTAGTAATTCAATTTCGTGTATTCCCATGCATACAAGCACTGAGCACTGTGCGATCGGTATTCCCTGCCATTCGTTTCAGGCAGTGCGACATTGTCACGCAACAATGTCATCATTTTGCATAAGCCGTTGTCAATTTTAAACGATTTACAGTCTTTGGTAGCAAACGGGCTATCAAAATGTAGCTAACAACATTACCCAAAAGTCTATATACATGATGTAAAAACGATCTGATTCAAAATTATGACCCTCCAATGAGTGTGACTTTCTGTTTTTGCAGTGTTTAATATCCTTTGCAAAGCTATATGAACTTTCATTCAATTGTTATGTAAGGCACAGTTTTTCAATTCAACTCCACCTTACCTTTCGATTGTATGCGTGCTCCATCCTAACAATGTGTATGCTCTTGCATCCTCCTCAAAATGGGTGTAGATGCTTTTCAGTGCGGCCGGGGTCAAAGGTCGCTCTAAGAAATTTGCCAGCTGTTCAATACTAGATCTGATATCCTGAAATGCAGGTATTTGGAGAAAAAAAAAGTAAGTAAGTTTTTCAACCGGTCAGTCACTCCCACACCATCCCATACAGTAGTATGGCTAAATAGATTCCTCAGGGAATTAACCCTAACAACCCCAACTCCATCTTAATCCATTCCCTCTTTTTTGGGTGGATTTTGGGGGACTTGGTCCAGAAGGCCTGGCGTGACTAAATATTGATGGAGTATGATGGAATTGGGCGTAATGGCCTGAAGCAGTGTTAGGGGTATCTGATTGAGTTTGCCTAGCTTCCTGTACTGCTATTGTGATAAAAGCCATGTGAAGCAAGTCCATGAATGTCAACCAGTGTGTCAGTGGTGGATTCCATTATGTCATGTTCAGTTTTGTATTAGACGTACAGTGATTGATGGATTTTGATGGAATTGGTCCAGTTCCCAGTAAAAGACGCTTTGGGAGTTAGGGTTAATAAAGTAAAATGATGTAGTACAGGTGATAATGGGTTAATTTCCAAAAACGGACTTGATCTACACACCTGACGGACATCTTCATATTTTAGGAAGAGCAAATTGTTGTCCTTTCGCTGTTCCCACCACTCCAACACATGTCTGAAGTAGGAACCATACCCCACTGGAAAAAACAAAATGGTAACAACTTTCAAATAACCAGGTCACTGACAACAACATAAAAACATAACACGGCTTGAGGGTGAGTAGTCATTAATATCTCCCCAAGATATTGGAAGTTGACAAACTAGGCTGAGGAAACTAGTTTGTAACCTTCCAAAACTGCGGAGAGTTCATATAGACTATCCACCAGAAATAAACCATGTTATATTTTGTTTTACAATACCTCGTACATGTTAGCAAACTGTTGTCAAGTTATACATCAGTTATCTCGGCATAACGATGCTGTGCGTGTTTCGCCATATGTTTTTGTGTAGCTAGGGTAGTGTTCACAGTGCGCAATACACGATACGGTATTAAATACGACAAGCTCTAAAATGACTTGATGCTTGTGTGCTATGATAGACTGGCAGATACCTAAATGTGTGTCCTGTCCGTGAATTTGGCATAGCACAGGACCAAATATCATAACTCGACGGACGATTGGCCATTAACTGAAAGTTGGCTGATTACAAAGTAACCAGATTTTCAAAAGCAAATGTTTTCTTTATTTAGCAAATGTTTGTGTTTCAATGAAATTGGTAACAGACTGGCAAAGAATAATGATCCATTTCAATTGTTCTATTCTTTTACAACATTTCTTCGCAATGTCTTCAATTTTTCTGTAACGCCTTCAAATCCATGATGAGTCAAAAACCTGAAGGTAAATCTAAAGCCTCACATTTATTGTTGATGAAGCGATAGAAGAACTGATGGAAAGTGCCCTTGTAGTGCACCATGCGGACAGTGCGATGGAAGTCATAGAACGAGCACATTACGTCCTTGGGGTTCCTGGTAATGTAGATCACCTGAGTGAAAACACAAATTGATAATATTGATGAAACCCTTTCACTACTTGATGCCCTAAAAAAACAAAAACCAATTACATCCACTTTGCCACACCTGCACATGCCAGCTAAGAGAGGTTTCACATTCGAATGGATGTGCGCGCGCATACGTTAAGCTATCCCTAACTGTATTTGATGTTGTACGCATACCCTTAGTTATTGGAACGGTTACCAATAAAAATAGTAATCCAAACTAGCAGCCTCCAATGAAAGCCTTGTATCTGCTGCAAATCTTACTTTGAAAAAGGCTCCTCCATATTCAACGCAAAAGTGAACGCTAACGCTTTTCAAGTTTTCACGTGGTGAAGTTGCGAACTTGACACACTTAAACTCTGGTGAATTCTACAGCGAATGCTTCGTGACGTCAAATTTGCTTGGCATACACATTCATGTGAGGTATGAACCAACCTAAACACAGACAAATGGCACATATATGGTCACAGCATTTCATCCCCTTTCAATCAAATCATACCTGATTGAATAACTTCTCAGAAAAAAAGATAAAACTTGCCAATTTACAATGCATTTCACACTGGCGCATAAAGTACAATATATTCGTGCGGTGTACATAACAGGCCAGTTCATACTCAGCATGAAAACAAACGTGGAAGCGAATAAGTGACACCATGGCAAGTTTCTGCACTGCAAATTTGCAAAAGTTGAACGCACTTCAACTCCAACTAATTTCGCAGTGAGTAACTTGTGACGTCAAAGCCACTTGGCATTCGCATCCGTATGAAGTACATACACGAACTACCTTCTTTCGTTTACCTTGCATTCTTTGTTCCTGACGCCCTCTGGCAGCAGTCCGTATGGCAGGTGGGACTTGATGTAACGGGGCGAGGGCAGCGTCTTCAGTAACTCCATCCCGGGGCTCGGGGCCTCCAGGAAGGGGATGGAATCCTCCACGGACTCCAGGCTCAGGTCTGTCGTGTTGAGATCTCCCCCCTCTAGGAGCAGATAGATCAGGTCCTGTAGCCACACCCCTGGGAAAGGAAATGTGTTTTACCCTTTCGTCAATGTAGCTCCCGAAACTGACCTGCCTATTTTTCTCTGTAGCGCCCAAAGCCACCCGAGCACTCTATCCGGTTTGTAAGTGTCACACCATTTCAACTTAACCATGCGCACAGCACACAGTGTAGAACTGGAACCAATGGAACCGGAAGAAGTGCGAAGTGGCGTGTTTAGCCAAAAGTAATCAGTGGTGCGCGCACGTGTATGACGCAGTCGCTTACGAACCGGATGGTTTCATTCATTCTTCAGTGAACTAACACGATGTAGTACAGCTGATAATGGATTAAATATGACTAGGCAGCGAGTCTAGTAAAGCAGTCCCCAGACGAATAGACCATTATCATTTTCCCATTCAAATCAACGCAACCAAAACGAGGCTGGAAGGGAAAATAGTCTGGTTGCTTTTTGCACAAAAAACATTATCATTCAGTACTCTTGTTGGATACAGGGAACATGACTGCAATGGTGGCAGCATGATAAAGGTCTGTTTGGTTTAAGGTGTCTACGTAGTTTACTGAGTGAAAGACTTATGCAAGTCTAATTCACAAGTGATGGTCAGTCAATCAGTCAGTCAGTGAGATAGGTGCAAAGAAAACTGTAGTCTGGCTCTCTGGGACCAGCAAAGTCAAATTTGTGGGCCAAGGTGAGACTTATGCAAGTCTAAATCACAAGTGACAGTCAGTCACTCAGTGAGGTACAAAGAGGATTCTGTATGGCCGATGCAATACAAAAGTGGACACAGCAAAAGAGCAGAAAACGAATGAAATATTCTTATCTTCACATGAACAAGCATCACAATCTCATACGTGGTACTATAATTTGCAAATATATGGACTTTAGGTACATGTAGTCAGTTTGGTATCCAATTACGAGACCCCAAAATAATTGTGCATGATACCCTAACAGAAATGCCTGCAAGCTTGCCTGCAACTAGTGCAAGCTTGCGTGCCAGCTTGCAAGGTTTTGAATATGTAAATTGCGGCAAGCTTGCGGCAAGCTTGCGGCAAGGTTGCTGCCAGTTTGTAGGCAAGCTCACCAGAATGTGTGCGGGTAAAGCTTGCTGGCAAGCTTGCAGGCAAGATTGCAGGCAAGATTGCAAGCTTGCTGCAAGCTTGCTGGTGAGCAGGCCTGCAAGCTTGCCCTGAATTACATATTTGAAACCTTGCAAGCATGCTTACAAGCTTGTTTACAGCTAGCTTGCAAGCATGCACGCAGGCAAGCTTGTAGGCAAGCTTGTAGGCAAAATGCAAGCTTGCAGGCAATAATAATTAATAATAATAATCTTATATATCGCTAAATAATTAAAAACAGGCAAGACAAAAACGAGATTGCAGGCAAGGCTTATGGGAGCTTATAATTACAGTAGCCTTATGGCCACTGCAATATGCTGCCTGGTTATGGCAATATGTTCTGTCTGTTTTCTCAAAATGTATAGTATCCACTGAGCTGACACTTCAACAGGTTAGTGTTACATTGTATGCACCCAACTTAAGATTGTGAGCAATTTTGTTGCTTCAACAAAAACGATGCACAGCCAGCAAATGATCTCCATGCATGATCTGACATACCTTTAATGTATTACTTTGTTATACACATGACACATGTACACAATAATCTATCACTTGAAAATAAAATAAACCAAAACAAATCATTACCACAAATACAGCACAATTCCAATCATGCATGGTACTCAACAACACGGATACACTTGTATGGATGGAGCAGGCGCTGCACAAAGACAAAAACACATGTGCAACCATCGAGCCAAGCACAACCACATGGGGATCTGGAAATGGCATAAAAAATAAAAACCAGGGGGAAAGGGGTTATTTCTTTGAACCTTGATTTAACTTGGTGAAAGTTAGTTTGGGATTGACAGGTCAACAAACGCATTGTATTTGATTATCTCATCTCTGACCAAATTATGGAGAAAGCCCAATATTTGTGACACATTCATGGGGCTAAATATAAGCCAATTATAGTCGTAGGACTGTGAACCAGTCCCTCATTTGTTCAGCTCTTGTGCCAGCACTTCCTCTGTCAGTGCCATGCCCAGGTATAAATTTACACAGTGACATGCACACATGAGATAATATTATCATCTCCAACCAAGCAAACGTGTCCTAGCTAACGACATTGCCTGAACCGGTGACCTGAGTGACCCAATGATTTTAATATTGTTTTTTTCTTCCTGCTTTCACATGAGTTTTTTTCCTTTATTGTTTTAAATTGAATGGTACACTAGGGCCTACTCTCTAAGAATGCTTCTGATTGTGCAACTGGATCCTTGCGCAATCTTTGAAAAAAAATTCTTCCAAATTGAGCGCACATTCTTAAGAATGCGTAACAAGAGAAGCGATCTTTTTGATGCCGAGCACCGGCTGCGCTTGGAGAGTCTAGCTGCATCCTTGTTCACTGATTCTTGGGCAGTACTTAGCTGGAGTTACCCAGCCCTAAATTTTATCATTGGGTTGTCATTTAACCCAATGATAAAATTTAGGGCTGGGCAACTCCAGCTAGGCAGCACTTAAATAATTATAGTACTGTTGCAATGCACGGTCACTAGGGAAAAGTTGTAACGCTGAAAAGTAGAGAGACGAAAGTAATAATAAACACATATTGGGGAGAAATCATAAAAGAGACATAATAATTGATAGTGTGCTAGAAAGAATTATGATTATGATACTGTACAAAACTTCCCATGCATGGGGGGCAGAAAAAACATTAATATAATAACAGCATTAATTTAATTCAAATTATCGTAATTAAATAAGTACAGAAGCATAGATCATTTTCTTTTCTCAATATATGAATATTTTCCCTAATCCCTAAAACATTTTAAAAAGGCCTAACATAAAAAATTATGCAGTGCAACGTTTATTATTATTGCGCAAAATTCATAAATTGCGCACGTAATATTTCCATGCAGTCTTAAAGAATGAGTGCTCAATCTTAAAATTTGAGTGATCATTCTTTAGAATGCGCGCTCGTTCTTAAGAATGCGCGCCCATTCTTAAGATTGCGCAAATCGCAAGAAAGCGCACAACAGAAACATGGTATATTAAACATGGTAAATCAGGAATCTTTTGACTTGGCCCTTCCGTACCTGCACGCGGATAACTCACAATCCACACGTCATCTTTTCTTACAGGGAAGGTGGCCACATCTTCCATCTTTCCTCTGCAAAACGGGGGTAACCTCACCCCGTCTACGACATAATACTGCATGATATCGTACTCATCGTCTATTGCCAACTTAGTAGGCGATTCGGGAGACGAAATCTGCGCCATCTTGTTTAGCGCTATGGCGGTTTTTCAAACCATGGCTTCGCATCATGCAAGCCGGATCAGATCTTCTCAGGATTCAGACTCTTTTTAAAGCCTTTAAAGCTCAAACCACACAGAAATACTGTACATTTGAGCCTCATTAAATACCGCATATGGACCTATTAATTTCATTAATTTGTGGGAAACTGTGGCCTAAAACCAATCCAACTGAAGCCAAACTACATAGCAAGCCGAAGTTTCGAAAATTCTTTATGAAGCTTAGGTTTGAGGGCGCCTTCTACCCGAGCGGTACAAAAATAGACATGATAGAGGAGCGTCACTGTCCTCACGTTGACAAGGGACATCATGATCAGCAGTTTCTTCTTTAGTTGTGCATAAATTTACATCTGGATTGATGATAGCCCAAAAGCCAGTTAAAAAAAGGTTAGGGTATCATTATGTTGAATAAAATAAATTATTATATGTTGAATGAAATAAATAATCTTCCCATGCATGCGCATTACATGGAATTGAAGGCATTATTGTAATGTAACTCGGGAACTAGGAGACGCCAGCCTGGCAGGTTCCCCCGTTTTTCTGTTTCGCTTTTGCAGAAAAAACCCCACAATCTACAGTCATTAGGAAGTGACAAGTTTAGGGCACCCCGCCAATGCACGTTGGAGATGGTCACTTAAATCTTGCCCCAGAGGTGGGGATTTGGTCACTTAAAAAGTTACAGTTCCCATCTTGGGCAGCGTGGGGGGGGGGGGGGGGGGGGGGGGGGATCCAGGGGGGGGGGCAAATCTCGATCTGTGCTCATACGTGTCCTTTGTTATTTCGTATTTTGTCTGGATTTATGTCTGGCCTCACTGCACTGTAGCATGTTTGAACCTTTGAGGGGATTTGCAGATTTTTTTAATTTTTTGATCAAAAATTGACCTTTTGGTGATGGCGAAGTTTTCAGATTTGGGGGCAAATGGTAAAAATCTTCCTACTTGGATTTCTCTCAGCTCATAAACTGGTTGTAGTGTAGGGTGTTTAATAAAAGACACTTATCTGTTATCGTCGTGCGTGTGGAGCGCTCCGTCGTGTTTGTGAGCAGTGCGTCGTGCGTGTGGGGAGCTCTGTCGTGCCTGTGAGGAGGTCCGTCGTGTTTGTGGAGAGGTCCGTCGTGTATGTGAGCAGAGCGTCGTGCGTGTGGGGAGCTCCGTCATATCGTGCCTGTGAGGAGGTCCGTCGTGTTTGTGGAGAGGTCCGTCGTGTTTGTGAGTAGAGCGTCGTGCGTGTGGAGCTCCGTCGTATTTGTGGGTAAAACCGTCGTGCCTGTGAGTAAAACCGTCGTGCCTGTGAGTAAATTAAGCCTTCGACAGTTTTACTCACATGCACGACGGTTTTACTCAGAGGCACGACGGTTTTACTTACAAACACGACGGACCTCCCCACACGCACGACGGACCTCCTCACAGGCACGACGGAGCTCCCCACACGCACGACGCTCTGCTCACAAACACGACGGACCTCTCCACAAACACGACGGACCTCCTCACAGGCACGACGGAGCTCCCCACATACATGCACGACGATAACAAATAGGTGTCCTTTATAGTACACTGTAGTAGTGACCACGAGGAAGGGATAGTGTGTAATTAGCTTAAGTTTGAAATTGTGCATGATTAAGAAGTTTGACACGAAGACTACAGTAGTTTGCAGGTATCTCAGATGCTTTTCTTGGCTTATTTTATTTAAGTAATAACGCATGCACAAAAGGTTTACTCATGCCGGTATTTGAAACGATCAGTACTCAAAATTACGTTCACATTAACATTAACATTAACATTAACGTCATTATTTACTACTACGATTAGAGCAAATTTTTAACTACAAAATGTTATCAATTTCAAACATAACATTAGGCAAAATAAGACAAGAACAAAATTAGAGGGCCTTAATTGTTTCGGTCATTAGCAGGACCTTTCTCAACGGCAAAACATTTGAGCAAGTTCTGAGAAAAATCGGAAGAGATTAGGCCTAATCATTGTTTTCTCGCATCCTGTATTTTCAAGTCGAAAAACTTGTTAATATGAATACAAGTTTCAGGATTGTTTTTTTTTCGCATGGTACTTACATTCGTTCAATTAGGAAAACGTAGTTGAGCATTTCACTCATGTAATTTATACTTTGCATAACATTTTTGCAGTCCTGTGATTTGCTGATATTTTCTTTAAATAGCTGCATAAACCCAAAGGTCAGATTATTTCAACAAATTTAAAACGGCAGCCAACCTTTTCAATTAAAAATAAGGCACAGTATGAGTGTATGATCACTAGCAAAGAAAATTCGCAAATGTAAAAGTAAAAATAGACATTTGTAGTGTACACATTTTGCATAATGGTCAATTTCTCGAAATTGAACCCAAAATTGAATGTTTACCCTAACGTTACAACCATGTTTTTGTCCACAGCTTCTGATGACATCTCACATGCCATAGACAAAAACAAAAATTGGATGAATTTGTTTTCTATAGACACTAGTTTAAGGAGTTTCTACGAGACAGATAATAGTGTAATACGTCACTCTCTTTTGCTCAATCTAAACAAATCAATGAAAAATTCATAATCCATAACTATTTAATTTTTAACAAAAGTGTTTTCATAGGTAAGATACATCCTTGTATCAATATGCATTGATTTGTTCTCACTGAAAAATATTACACACTGAAGTATAGGTAACCCAATCTTTTAATCTTTCGTCTGCTATCTCATCCGTCGCGTCTTAGACTTTTCCCGTGAATTCGGAGAGTCTTAACGATCCTTTCTTGGCATCACACGCACAAAGACATTTTGTGGCTCCAGCATTGTCATCTTCCCGAACGTCAGAGGAATCTACATGAAAAGGAGGAAAAAAAGGTACCGGTAAGTCATATGTTGTTTTAGATCATGAGACAATTATTGTTTACAAACTTGAATGCAGTAGTCGCGAGATGGCATCTTTATCAAACCCTTCTATTTGATACTGCCCTTTTTTAGTTGAAACATACACCTGTATTTGGTTTTAAGAAGCACATCGCACTGAACACTAAAGACGAGAGATGAGGGGGTGGAATTTGGATGGCTGTCGGAACCGCATATGAATAAAAATATATGTGGGCCCTTCTCCCGTGAACAGTCTCTTTTTCAACGACTGATACGTCTTGAACTGTATCAATTAACGCCAGACAGGCAACAATTGCTACCAATTGCCGTCTGGTACCACTGCCAATTGCTTATCGTCATCGTGACTTCGTATTCATGAGATGGGGATCAACATTAAGTAATGTAAGTTCGGAGTAAAAAAAAAATCAGGCTTTTGACCCCAGTGACCTCATAATGACCACTGACCCCAGTTTGGTCATGTGACATGTTGCAGCTGGGCTACTGATACTTTTGACAAAGTTTGGTTGAAATCGGTCAAGGAGCAATATAGCTAATGTCAACTAAACTAACTAACTAACTAACTAACTAACTAACGGAGAGACATGATGATGAGCTGCTACCCGCTGCTAAAAAAGGCCTCGAATCTGTAAGCAAATTTACCGGAAAATACTTTTTGAAAGTAATGAGTGAACACTGAGTTGCGAGTAATGGCCAAGAGTTGTAGACCACAATGATGATGTTCTCAAAGCAGTACAATGTTCAAGACGTGAGAAATGAGTCATTTTCCAGTTAGCAAATTTGCTGACATGCTAGTTAGCGTTTTAGGAAAGCATGTCTTAACTTACCGGCGTTTCAGGGCATGCCTCGAAGCGGTATTTCTGGAAGACGCGGGTCATGAAGACCTTTGCCAGGAGCATGACGAATTTGACGGCGATGCAGATACGCGGACCGGCGCCGAAGACAATCCACCCCAGAGGGTGGACGGAGTCCTTATTCTGGGGGCTGAATCTGAAAATTTAGAAACGGGAAATAGTAATAGGTTAGCACAGACATCCAGGAACTTCTGAAATCTCCTTATTTTGTTCCTAGACCTATTTTCATAAAACTGAATGGTTCAAGTCTGGAGTTCTGTACACATAGCTACATGTAAAAGTACACGTGCTTATATGAGAATATGTTTTCACCGGCTGATGTAATCCCACGTTGCCCTATGGCATCATGTACGTGTACAGTGTCATAATAATTGTTGACTGCTGTGATTTAGGGTTTTCACAAAATATAGCATCCAAGGTGAACGCTATGCGCCCGGATGGGCGTTAAAAAACGCCATATCCCACATCACACACAGCCAACAATTGTTTTGTCATACAGGGTGAGTCAAAACATATGGAACCCAAACCCAAACATTATATTTCATATTTAAAAAATGTGTAGCACCAAACATAATAATGACTGGAAAGCCAATTTCATAAGCTACTTTTAGATGAAAATATTCCTGAAATTGCCCAATCCGTTCAAAGAGTATCACCATTTAAACACAAGGACCCTAAAACCTCTTTCGTCCAAAAATGCGATTTCAAGAATCGTCGTCACGATTGTCTTTAAACATCACCAGCGATAAAATCTCAGTTTAAAAGATAAAAATACTCAACAAAGTCCTTTTGAAGGCCCGTCTTTAAAAAAAAGGTGGATTTTATAAATCATAGTTATTGCTTGCCTAACCAGGGTTGTAAATAAAGATATTGTGTACTACAGTTGTTGAAACAACTATTCTGAGTCATTTTCTTTGTTGTTCCAAACAGTCGGAATACACACTAAACTGCTTGTTTGGACGAAACAGGTTTGAGGGTCATTGCGTTTATGGTGATATTCTTTAAACGGATTGAGCAATTTCAGTTATTTTTTTTTACCTAAAAGTACCTTATGAAATTGGCTTTCCAGTCATTATTGTGTTTGGTGCTACATACTTTTTTTTAAATATGAAATATATTTTGGGGGGTTTGGGTTCCCCTATTTTTACTCACCCTGTATCTTGCTTATTGGTCAGGCGATGCCTATGATTTGCTCCCCCCACTCTCCACCCTGACACAAAACCTGGATACGCTGCTGCCCAAAACCCAGTTGCTATTTCATTGTTTCATATTTTTCTTCGGTTTCCGTACCTTTCCGGATCAAACTTCTCTGGATCTGCCCAGATTTCTTCATCATGTTGAATGGGATAAAACGGGATGTTGACCAGAAGGCCTTTCTTCAGGGTGTACTTGCCATAGGTAACAGTCTCTGCGCAGACACGGTCAGCTCTAGCGACAATCAAAAAATAACAAAAAAAAACGAACTTAATTGAAAAGTGTATTTTGAGCTCTGGCAGGAGCTTCTACGGTCACTTCCTTGTCGGTCGGTCGGTCGGTCGGTCGGTAGATCTGTCCCGGAAAATTGACCAAAAACGGCCCCCCTACGTGTCCCATTAAATAAAACTACCAAAATTTTAATTTACAGAAAAAAGCAAAGAAAAGAAATGAAATACTTCACAAAAAATTGTTTGTAACAATCCGTAAAGTTGTTTTTGAAAATAACGTCGCAATAAAGGCAGGCACTGCGTACACCACCATCTTTTCCTCAAACGACTTGGTTAAAGTGGTCAGAAATTGACTCAGATCGCACCACAGAGCATCTAGAATCAGAAAACCACCCCGTAATTGTTGGGACCCAAAATTTGGATTAAATCCTACTGCCTCTGAAAAATGGCAAGGGACTCACAGTAAGGTTGGTGGGTACATGCGGAAGCACTCCTGTATCACCATTTCTAGGTACGTCATTTTGCTCATGGTCTCGTAGGTTATGTCGGCGGGTGTCGGTGCAAGCCTGTCGATCTCTTCAATCATCTTGTCCTGTACTTCGGGACTCAGTGCGAGCTGATAGGTGGCGCACAGCAGGAATGTCGACGTTGCCTCGTTACCGCCAGACAGTAAGAGAACATTCTGTCGACAATGGCAAAAAAAGTCCCACCAGTGCATTGAATCTTTTTTTAAAGGCATGATTTAAAGGTGAATCCAAAGGATTAGTCAATCGACTGGAATAAAGACAAAATTCTTTCTGGTTAAAAAGGTTGTGCATGGTAATGCACAGTTGTCTCGAAAAAAATGTAACACATGTATATCCACTGGGCTGAAATGTCAACAGGTTAGGTTTGGAACAATCTTCTTTGGATTTTGAGCGGCGTTATTATTGAAAACGAACAAAATGCATTGCATTCAAGAGTGCAAAGAGAAGAAGAAAATTTGCTTGCGTTATTAAACAGGACTAAGCGATCAAATCACTCATTATATAATACTGCGATTATATATTTGAATGGGCGTTTCAAATAACTGTAATGTTTGTGTGTTGTCTAACTCAAGTAAATTGTGTTTTATTAATGTTTCTGTTATATAAATTTTCTTTGGTATTTGGTGTCGTGTCTTATCTTTTAAATCAGTGTATTTTAAATGTTTAATTCTTAACCATCGTCGGATTTTTTTTTTAGCGAGCAATCAAGACAAATTCTACCGTACTGTATGTTATGCATTATTATGTAGCAATAATGTCACAATGATCTTGGGGAAAAAATTGCATTATGCAAATGAGCAGCCCATTGACACAATTTGTAATTGAAGTCGGTTCATTGAACATTTACCGCGCAGAGGAACTCGTTGTAGGTAAGTTTCTTCGGTTTACCGGCAGCCTCCTTGGCCAGATCTTCTTCAGTCGGAACATCTCCTGGGAACTCTGTGTTCTTCTGGTACATTTCATTCATGGTAACATACTGTAAGATAGAGGAACAAATAATAAAAGTCAGACCCTATGTGTTCTATGATACAAAAATATGCAGATGACACCTCACTGCTTAGTCATAACAATGAGACTGGATATACAGGAACGAAATTGTTAAGTTCTGTAATTCAAATTGTGACTGAGTACAGGGTGAGTAAAACAAAAAAGAAAACTTTTTTTGTGTGAAGCTTTCTTTTAGTGAAGTTTTCTTTTAGTGAACTTTTCCAGTTATGGAATTTTGAACACAAACACCGTTTTTTTAACCTTGTCCACGGATCACAATAAAGGTGATATTTCAGCAAAATGAAAACTATTTACACACCAAAAAAACCCATATCACTGCAGAACACCTTCATAACCATGATAACTGGCACTTATCATAACATTTATTTAAAAACCTGCTGCTTCCAATGTTAAAATATCATGCTTTACAATGTCAAGGGTTTAAAGACTTGCCCTGCCTTCTACTTGGCTACCCTGGAGACCTATGGGATTATTGTGATATAATTTTCAGGATACGAACGACATGGTTCATTTGTACTGAAATATCACGTACATCAAATGTGATCCGTGGACAAGGTTAAAACGGTGTTTGTGTTCAAATTCCATAACTAGGAAAAGTACATGAGCGATTTGAATGATTCTTTAACCAAAACAAAGCTTGTCAATTGGGCTTTCATATCCTAGATTTGGAAAACGCTACATGCAGCAATTCTTTTTTAGGTGACAGTAAAGTTCTGGTCACTTTGAAGCTTTGCTCAGAGAACGTTATGTATCTCGCATACCGACAGTGAGAACTCGCCTCAATACATTATCTCAGACGCGTATACTGAAGAGATGATGTCGTCTTATGACATTGTCAGTGTGGCTTTCCGTGACTTTGTTTTGTCAAGTAACTAACAGTCACTTCGGCATCAATTTGGTCATCATTGTTAGTTTTTTTTTTTTTGGGGGGGGGTTACCTACCCCTGCGGCACCCTCGCGCCGCTGTCGTATCTGGACTCCTCCTTGAAAGGAATCCTCTATGATTTGCTTGAAGAAGTCCACCGCGTCTTTAGGGATAATGTTGGACCCCATCATTTCGAAAAGTGGTCCCAGTATTGGAAAGATGACTGTAAATAGAGAAAAAGGAAAAACACCAATTATTGGCGAGTTATTAAAGAAATAACTAATTTTGGAATATGTTCCAATAATTATGTCGTCCGACCGCTTTGGATTTATCTAATATATGAGTAATGACACTGAGAGGTTTTAGATTTAGATTTAGATTTAGATTTCTTTATTGTCATGCTCAAAATTAGATGAAATTGACTTCCCAGTGTACAATTAAAAAGTAGGTATACATACAATAATTTAAAGTACACAAAAAAATATGACAAAGCCAGAAATATATTACTACATGTAGGCCCTATATACACAAAAACACAATTACGACTATACAATCATGAAAACTATTGGAGCAGTAAAGTAGGATTTCAGGCCGAGGGTTGATTAGGGAAGGAAATGAGGAAATAAGACCGGGACAGGATGGAAACAGCTGGGTCATGTATAGGGTAGGGTAGGATTGAGGGTAAGGGGGGGGGGGGGGTGAGAAGGGAGGGGGGGAGCCTGATAAGGGAAACATTGGAACAGGGTAGGGTAGTGTAGGGAGGAGCAGGGCTGAGTATAGGTATGGCAAAACTGAGTTATTAGCTAAAAGCCACTTATCTATAGGGCATTTGAAAGAAATAAAAACACAACAGGTGTAGGGATAAAACTATCTGGCGAAAATTGAGTAAAAATCTGAATAGCCCATGGTAAAAATGAAGATTTGAACCTCTTTGTTTTGAGACTAGGTTGACGTACTTAGTCTACAATATTAATTGGCTACTTGCAATTACATGTATACACACGTTTCTATGGGAAGCAGTGCAGCCGGCTGTAGCCACTTCACATTGACGTGTGTGTAATTGCAAGCCGTATCAAAGTAGTTCAGACACGGCTTACCAAGTTTTGTGTCTGTAGTCTGCACGGTTCCTATGAAAAACTAATACTTACTTGGGATCAACGTGACCATGGATGGTTGGAATGCTTTCTCCACCTTGGTCACAAACGGATGGTCAAGATTGGCCTGACACTGGACATCCAGACCGTAGATAATAGCCATGATGGTTTGGATGAAGAAGCCCAGGTAATTCCTGGGAATACAGACAGAAATGGTAAGTGAAACATTACAGGGCACAAAAATGCATTGTAAACCAATTAGCTTTTTTTTTGCTTTTTGCTGTTTTCTTTTTATTTTTGTTTGCCAAAAAGAGTTCATCTCAGCAAAAAAACCCCTGTTTTTAAATAAGACGTTAAAAAGTTGAGTAGTGGATTATCTAAACTAACTGCATGAGAAAAATGCTTTGGTTTTATTGGTTGAAGAATTGGTCCATCCAAGGAACTAGATAACTTGTTCTGTTCTTGGAAGAGACCCGCACTTACTTCTTTGTGTTGAGCGGTTTGTTTTCGGCGTGAGACTTTCCCATGTTGTCAAGAAGAGGGCCGCAACAATCGCTGAATATTTCCACCATCTGAGTATAAGTCCAGAAAGGTAGCAAAATAATTAAGTATGACACCATTCCATAGTGATTATGGTGTATGTCTTGTACGCCAACCAGTTTGTCCGACTGGAATCTAGTTGCACCAATCCAAAATATCCTTTCTATCGAACGTTTCTATTGGGCAACAACGGTGGGTTGTATACCTTTCGACTAAACACATCGCTCAATAGATCGTTTGTACTGCTGCCATCTTTGAGGTGTGTGCTTTTGCTCACCAGGGATATACTCTTGTGCAGTCGTTGTAAGTGCATTGACTTAGCAAAACACACCCCTAAGATGTCTGCTGAATGCATTTTAAAAAAAATTGATCTACTACATATTAAACTTTTTCCCCATAGATGTTGGCAGATTGTCGACCATATTACTTGAAGTTGCACTCGCAGTAGGTACAACCTCTGTACCTGAACATGCGTGTAATTAGGCATAAATAATAATAATAGGGCCTAATCATATATAATGTGTATTTACAAAGTGCACGTATCCACCTAGGTTTACCTGTCTGAGCTTGCTTGTTGTGAATGCTGGTGTGATGATGGCACGGACGTCTTTCCATCGTCGGCCTTTCATGTAAAGCAAAGTACCATTCAGTGGGAAACCGGCAGCAGGAATGTCCTGTTATGGGTCAACAGAGTTAAATGACCAACAGATGTATTGCAGTATACATTCTGTATGCAGTATACATCGAAATAAATACATTAAAAAAAAAACCTGTTTCATCTCGTACTAATTTTGTACGATTTTCAGTTGGATATCTAGGCCCTATATTAGGCTTACGAGTGGTTCGGGAACTACAGGACGGGTTAGGTATTTATATTGTACGATATTCATTTGGATATGTAGGCTTTATTTTAGGCTTACCCAGTGGTTCGGGAACTACGGGACGGGTTAGGTATTTGTATGATATTCAGTTGGATACCTAGGCCCCATTAGGCTTACCCAGTGGAACGGGAACCACAGGACGGATAATAATAAATAATAATAATAATATAAATTTCTATAGCGCCGAATCCATTAAAAATTGCTCCATGGCGCTTTACAATCAAACAATTTACTAAAAGGAATAAATTAAATTTAAAAATGTGATAAGGTATTTGTACGATATTCAGTTGGATATCTAGGCCTGTACCCAGTGATTCGGGAACTACAGGACAGGTTATATCTGTCTGATATTCAGTTGGTTCGGGAACTACAGGTTGGGTATTTGTACGATACTCATTTGGATATCTCGGCCCTATATTAGGCTTACCTAGTGGTTCGGGAACAACACTGGTCAAAGGTATTTGTACGATATTCAGTTGATATAAAGGCCTTATCTTACCCAGTGGTTTAGAAACTAAGGTACAGGTTAGATATCTGTCGGATTCAGTTGGATATCTAGTCCCTAATTTAGGCTTATCCGGTGGCTCGGGAACTACAGGACAGGTTAGATATTGAAAGGATATTCATTTGTTTATCTAGGCCCTATTAATCTTACTCATTGGTTCGGGAACATGACGGGTTGGATATTTGAATGATATTCAGTTGGATATCTAGAGGTTCAATTAAGGTTTAACCTGTGATTCGGAAACTATATGACATGTTGGATAATTTTGAGCAATATTCAGTTTGTTATTTGGGCCCAATTAATCTTACCCAGTGGTTCGGAAACTTGTTGAAATCGGTCACCAGAACCCTTTTCGCGATGTCAATATCCGACACAAAGAGAATCGGGTATTGGAATTTGTATATTCTGCAAGGAGAAGAAAAGTCCAGTTTAATACTGCACGTCTCACTCCTTCAACAATTAAGCTTCAACACATTCTTTGGTTTTATTTTCTACTTCATCTTAGTACTTACAGGCCTTTGGATTCCAGAGAGATTCTAAGGCCTTTGCTTTTGAGCAATGCCAAAAATAGCGGGATCAAAATAACCGAGGACAATGCTTTGTGTTTCCCGTTGTCCTTGTAAGCACATAACCGTTCGATCGAGGACCGTTTTCAACAAAAGACCCAACGCTCGAAGACTGAAAGGATCTCTTTGTTTTCCCTTTGTGTTGTCTGTCCTCTATCACAAAGCCATACATGTGTATTCTGTCTCGTTCGAGTTACATTTAGGATCAGGTCTATATGGAAGTAGATTCTTCCCAGAACGAATGGGAACAAAATTAATCTTACCCAACTACTTTTCCATATTTTATGACGCATTCCTCGGCATAGAGGTTGTTGCCTTTCTGAAAGGAGTATATAGTTTTGTTTTAATTTAAATTCATCAATCGATAAATATGAAACCAAATTAATGTGGATATCATCAACATTAAATTTTGTTGCTGTTTGTTTGGGCATCCAAATGCTGCATGTGACGTCATCAAACCAAAAGTGAAATGCCCATCAATGCATGCAAACACACGCTCATGTAATTCGAAGAAAAATCTTTTCTTTTCGATGTCTTTGGTCAAAACTGATCAACTTGGACTATTAAAACCGGGATTGACATTGTCATTCATAACTGAACTGAAACACCGTACAACACTATCGTCGCACCCCCATCACTCTGCGCTTGTCACAAAAACAAACGCCATATACGTCTAGTTTTCTTCTTTTCCCCCTCCTACCCTTAACTTACTATGCGTATTTATTAAAAACGTATGCCGTGTGCTAATCAATTTGTTTAACTTACCCTCAACCAGTCGATGGCATTCCCCACGATAGGGTAGTATGGGACCACAGGAATTCCCGCCCTTTGGAAAAACTGATGGCACCACCAGTCATAGCTGCATGTGAAAAAAATGTGTTGAGCATGGGATCAACACAAACCACTGTAGTCTGTATAATTACTGGTAATGGTCAAGTAAGTTCCATATCTAAAATAAAGACAAGTAAATTAAAGGCATATATATGATCATTTGCGGTTCATGCATTTTGTTCGTTCCCAATAACACATTGAAGTTTCAGCTCAGTGCACATTAATCCTGTTCGAGAAAACTGAAAAACCATGCACAATCTTTTGATCAAGAAACACAAATTCGTTTAAAGCACTCTTTATTTCCAAAAATCTGTCAGTTGACAGATAGTTGGAAATCACCTACATTTCTTGATTTCTTCTAAATGATAGCTAAAGCCAGATGGAATAATTTCACGGGGTGTTTAGTACCAGTGCGATGTTTAATCCAAGTCTTTTTGGTAACAATTCGGTAGGCTACTTTTGGGATAAATTGCAAAGGATCACATATATGCCGAAGTTGCCATGGATAAGCAAAAAAATATCAAACAGGATTAAAACAAATCGGTTAACAATTTAAATCTTCGGAAACTCATTTAAAATTCAAAAGCTTAAAAAACTCTTACGCCAAAAAGATGAGGATGGCACCAATTGCGAGGGTCCAAGTCACGGAAAAAGAATCACCGAATATCCACAACGCCATTTTGATTCGAAACGGTGTACGGCGTCTCCTGTGTGCTGGATCTGTATCAGACACTGCACTGACTGACATGAAGCGAAGACATTCGTGAACGGACATTGCCCAAGGTGGATATTTCTATCCCTAAGAGTTAATGTTTGTTCTATTTTTATCGATACTTTATCGCAAAAAGTGCGCCGGTGTCAACTTTGGAGCATCGAGGTCACCTCAGTGGGGAGGCAAATCTTTGTCCGACGAAATGTTGTATCTTGCTGTACTGTAAAAAAAAAACATGTCCGTAAAAATTTGTAAAAGTTTGTAATGTCAAAATAGTTTTTAATTTTGTATCTTTTTTCACAGTTTGTGTACTTTGTACTGCTTAATGTCAATTACATGGGGAAAATGAAATTGTACACATCGAACTCCCTCAAGTTGAACTTTTTTTTTCTTCTTGTGTGTGTGCTGAAGTATTTGTGTATAAAGGTTATCCTGTACTACTGAGGACTTGGGACAATGGGGGTGTGTGCGACAATAATGGGCCCAAACAAAAGGGACATGAAGGGGCCGGTCCAAATGAGTAAAACACGACTGATTGCGTCTGCTAGATTGTGGGCTGCATGCACCCCCCCCCTCTCGTCAGCACAATCATTCTGCATGGATCTGGGTGAAACCTATCAAACACACGGAAACGCAGAATTGTTTACGTTACAAACGTAGTGTGGGACATTCCTTTGTTTTCGTGTAGTTAAGAACAGCCTGTGGAAAAAAAAAGTTTGCGCACACTGTGAAAACTCTTTCAACCCAATGTTGTTTCTTTGATTCCCTTTAGTGTTTCTCTTCATTTTGCCACTGATAAAAACTAACCAAAAAATGTCCTCTAAACCTGTTTTCCAGAGAGGGGGAAACACTGTGTGGACGTGGGCAAGTCCACGCAACGTCGCTGCTACCTGGTTTATGTGGGCCTCTTTTGTTAGGAAGCCCACACAGTGAATGAAATGCTTGTTCACGCAAAGCTGTGAAACACCTGTTTTAAAACGTATTGTTTGAACCCTATCGACGTTGAGGCCTTGGAGGGCATGACACAATTAATGCTCCCCTAAGTACGCCAGTGGTTTTACTGTTTGTCTCTACGGTTTTTTTGCAGGATGATGGTCCTGGCGTCCCAACTACCAGGAATTCTCAGTTATACTTCAGACAGTGTGGGATCTAAACACATCAGACCCTCTGTTTATGTTTTGTGCAATCAAAAATCATTTAAGGTGTTAATAAGCAAAGGATTTTCGACATGGCAATAGAAATCATTACTACTGGCTCTGGATTTTGAATTGAATTAATGTCAAGTGCTGGTCGTTATCTTAGGCAGTGCAGTTGGATAAACAAAAACTGCTCTGGGCCCTTTGAACATTGATAAAAGTTGGAAATTCGAATTGTCCAGAACCCTCACATTATCAGATTTAGTTCTTTTTCACACTACGTTTGCTACGCCTGATGACTGAATATTTGTGTTTGCCTGGGATACTGGAACATTACTTTGTACAGTGCACGGATAAAAAATTGGGGACCTTTGATGGGGGACTTGATCTTTGAACAGGGTATGATTACACGGGTACCACAGTGAACCGAAAAGGTCAAAATAGTTTAACTTTACACACTTCACTCCATTAAATTGAAGTCGACGATTCAATGTCTGCTGCTCGTTTAAAAAAGGGGCCGTATCATTAGTCCGACGCCTCATAGGTTCGACGTCTCATCGGACTTATGAGGCGTCGGACTTATGAGGCATAATATTTATTTATTCCGCCTCATGGATCCGACGCCTCATCATAAGTCCGACGTCGGAAAACAAGGCGTTTAATTTGTCGGACCTACGAGGTGTCGGAGCTATGAAGCGTCGGACCTATGAGGCGTCGGACTTATGGGCCTTTATTTGGTTAGGGGATGCGATTTTGTCGGAAGGTTTATATATCGCACATATGAGGCGTCAGACTTATGACCGGACCCCGCCCAGAACATGAGAACAGTTCACTAAAAAAAATGGGTAAATAGCCAATGTTATTTGCCCAATATGTTGGCCAGAATTTGCCCAAGAGTGTAGGCGATTGGAATATATATATGCTGACCGGCATTATTATAACTAACAACCCATTCGCCCAACATTTTGTAAAACTAAGTCGGTTACTTCAACCAACAAGTACCAACAGCAGCCTTTCTTGGCTTAAACATTCCCACAAACGCAGCATGATAAGCGTAAATTAACCCTAAAAGAGCCGGGTTATTTTGACCACCTCTCAGAAGGGGGGGGGGGGGGGTGGTATCACTTATGGGCCTTTATTTGGTTAGGGGATGCGATTTTGTCGGAAGGCTTATATATCGCACATATGAGGCGTCAGACTTATGACCGGACCCGCCCAGAACATGAGAACAGTTCACTAAAAAAAATGGGTAAATAGCCAATGTTATTTGCCCAATATGTTGGCCAGAATTTGCCCAAGAGTGTAGGCGATTGGTATATATATATATGCTGACCGGCATTATTATAAAACTAACAACCCATTCGCCCAACATTTTGTAAAACTAAGTCGGTTACTTCAACCAACAAGTACCAACAGCAGCCTTTCTTGGCTTAAACATTCCCACAAACGCAGCATGATAAGCGTAAATTAACCCTAAAAGAGCCGGGTTATTTTGACCACCTCTCAGAAGGGGGGGGGGGGGGGTCGGTACATGCATAGAACAACTCATCATGAACATACCCAAGAAATTTCATGACTATAGGTCAAAGGGTTTTGGAATTATGGCTAATATTATGCATATGTCAGAATTGTAATTGTGCTCTGTGTACACGACGTATAGGGGAAAGTTTGTGTGTGTGTGTATCTGGTATCAAAAGATGCGCAAGGCTCGAGGCTAAAAAGTCAGCTAAAACAGCTCGGGTCGCGAAAAAAAAATCAAGGCTATCGCGGAAAAAGTTGAGGTGGGGGGGGGGGGGCAGGGAGTCGCCCCAGCCCTTTTAGTAAGCCTACGATGAAGCCAGAAGCACGTGTGCTACCTCTGACTGGTAAATATTCAGACTGCTGCGTCGTTTCTTAGACTGTAATTTAAGAAAATCACGTGACCATCTGCTGGATTTTGGTGAAAACTTGACATCAAAAACGCCAAGCCCTTTTGGAGATATGTTAAGGGTCTCAGGCAAAGTCGTCTGTTTCAACACTCAACACTGCTAATGGTATTGCTACAACTCCCATTGACAAAGCGAATGCCTTAAATAGCCATTTTCAGTCCATTTTTACAAAGGAAAACTGTGACATTATCCCAAGCCTTGACAGTCTAAAGTTTCAGCAAATATCTTCTTTTAATATTACAACTGCGAGCATCAAAAAGCTGTTGAGAGAGTTAAAACCACAGAAAGCACCAGGCCCCGATGGCATCTTCCAACGATTCAGAAGGAATGTGCTGACAGTGTTGCTCCACTCTTACAACGAATTTTTCCAGAAGTCCATCATACCGGGGAATTACCAGGCGACTGGCTTATGGCTAACGTCTCACCTATCGTCAAAAAAGAAAACCGTTCAGATCCATCAAACTAGGCTACCCTTGGTTCAGACAGGCGTGCTAGAGTCGCGCCGATGCAAATTAAAGGCAAGATTAAAAAAATTAAGTACATTAGTCCGTGGGTTAAAGGGGGTCCTAGTGCACTCCCCCAAACCCACCGCCACCGTGGGTTGCCATGGAAACCAACTATAGAGGGCGCTACTGTCAAACAAAATATATATACTTGTACATGTTTATTTTGAAATTTTTCCGAAAAGTTGCTCATCATTAACGTTACAGCTTATTTCTCGTCTTGAAAAGCCATCGGCCAAATCATAAAACAGAAGTTAAGTTATGATTGTCCAACTTCTGTTGAGCTGGTAGGTCTTGGCAAATTGAAAATTATTTACATTTTTAAGTTAAACAACGTCCTGCTGAATCAAGGTTCTGTTATTCTTAGCCTTTGGGTTGGTAGGTGTCAGGTCCATCTTCCAGATACATGGCCATACCTTTAACAATCTTGCTGAATCGTCATGGAAACCGTCTACAGAGCCTGACTCTGTACCCAGATGAATATAATAACATATAAACATTTTTTCAATAAGTAGAGATTTTGTG